TGAGCAAACTCTACGTCACTTGATGCGGTCGTCTATGTTCATTAACTCTCCCGAAATCGACCACAGCGTTTTTAGAATGAGCACAAATCATACTTAGTTTTACTTACGTCAGTCAAGTAGGAGCCGTACACCTGTTTAGCTCTTTTATTTCGATCTAGCTTCTTGGAGACCATGCTTAGGTTGTTTTTTTCTCACTTGTGTCAAAATTCAAGATAAATTGAAAGCTCTTAGACGGTAGTGGGGCCTTCAGGGTGACTTTGCTTGCGTGCCGCCAACAGCTCATAGAAATCCGCACTTTTCCACGTAGTTTGTATAATTCGAGTGAAACATGTTTTTCTTCTATTTGTATTTCTTTGCTGCAGAGCTCGTTCGATCTCTATGGACATACTGCAAATAGTTCCAACGTATCCACGTACAATCCGACTAATCATCTTTCTTTGACCGAACCCCACGTTAAGTATCGGTTAATTTAGCGCACCTTTTGTTTAATAGGAGTATAGAGTGTTTCTCCAGAGCGTTGCTTTACCGGTTTTTCATCAATAAATTTCTATTACAAATTAATATATTAGAGACGGCAACAATATGTGTAATATAACATACCTTTTGCGCTGCCTAAACCACGTCGATGGAGGCCCTACGTAGGACCGGTTGCGTATTAAATTCTCGTATATCCTTTGAGATTGCCGGTTTAATTCACAGTCGCGTGGTTATACCTGGGGGGATTTAATGATCGTTTGGTGAAATCCACTTGTTCTCGCTATAGCTTTTTCATTTGCTAGCACAAGCTTGAAATTAGACGTAAATTTGCTTCGCACCACTTCCGCTACCTTCCAGAATATGAAATTGCGAACACGGTGAGGCTGAACACACTAGCCCAAATAACCTCTTCCGTTCACGACGTCCGTTTTTCCCGTACTATATAACTCGCTATCCTGGTGGTGGTAATATTGACAGCAAAGGACAAAAAAAGCTCGAAATTCACGTAGATTTCCGCAGAATGGCGTTTTCAATTCAGATACTGTATTGTCGTATATATGTGGGGGAGCGCTTCGAGCCTGCTGGGGCAACCGAAAAGTCTCCGGGGCTCCGCAATGGCCGAGGGTGAGAGAGAGTTCAGTGAACTGGGGCCGACAGATAAAGCGCCCTCTGGATACTTCAGTGAGAACGACGCTGGATGCTAATGCCGTATTCCGGTTAGATAGAGCGCCCCCGGTGACGTTTGAGGGGACTAAGCGAATTTAGGCATCACACAACTTGCGTGTTTCAACATGGTGAATGAAGAAAACTATTTAACAGATTTATAAGATCAGGCTAATTTATGTTGGTACCTAATTAATAAAATCTACAAGCCCAGTAATACACCGTTCAGATCAACTGCGCACGTTGACGTGTCCTGTAAATAATGTAAACTGCAGTACAAGGGAAATTTTAACTATCGACATTTGAATTAAATGAAGGCAAGAGCTAGTGACTATCAGCTCGGTTCGTCGCTCCGGTTTGCGATAAAAGAAAAAACTGTAAAAGATTTTTTTTTTAAATACAAGACATATCGTATTTAGTTTTATTGGGCAATTTATTTTTCACTTAATGCGACGTCACTTTTGCTGTCGTCCTAGAGTATGCTTGCAGTATATGATGTAAACTATAGACTGTATCATAATCTAATAAGTCCTGTATAAAAACGAATTGTTCTTTCTTTTGGAGTTATAGAGCATTTAGTGTACGAGTATTTACAGTGATAGATATCTTCCATTTAAGATTGTCTTAGGTTTTTGTCTGCATTAACACCCGTTCCTTTCAGTTATTAATAGGTTGTTACTATACGAGATTCAATAAGGTAGTTCTTTGTCGCTCTTGCCCTTCGTACAATTGTATGTGCGAATGATTTTTGCAGAAATTTCCGTATCACTTAAACGATGCGTGTTTATATACGCAGACGATTTTGGTAGAGTTTCTACTAATTTAAACTAATTAAAGACATGCGTAAGTGCAATACCTATCCGATTTAAAAAAAGTGACATAAAAACATAAGTTTCAAAATACTAGCATGGCCGTTTACAATATGTACCAGGTTAGGCGGTGACTTTGACGCAAAAAAGGTGTCACAGCCAGCGCTTGGCTGGAAAACTTCGGACGTTATCAGTAAATACGGAAATTAAATTGTTTAAAATTAGGATCGTGTACTTTCTACGAGTGGCATCTCTGCATCTCCTATTTGTTCTGCGATCCACATGAATAGTGACTGTAAGATAGATGCTGAACTTTGTATGAGACGATGTATGAAAATCACCAAAGAGAAGTATCAAAAGGCAGGTTATTCTTTGGGATTACAAACTGTCATATTAGAAACAGGAGATGTACATCTAAATATTGTAAGCGTTACCACAATGTCGGAATGTTGTGCTATGTCCGCGCTTCACTATTGTAACGTTGTGAGTGACTTGATAGCTTAATAAACTGTGAACCAATATGCTTGGTAACTTGTTTGAAATTTCAATTTAATTGCTGCTTTATTGACATGCGTTCCTACGTCGCTTGCAAAGGTAAAAGCTTTTTATGACACCATAAATATTAATCGGGATCCTCAAGCAATAATATTAGACTCAGTCATTCAATTGATTCGCACAATCAAACATATTAGAAATGTCTTTGTGCCTCAAGCTGTTAACTCTCAATTAGTTGCTATTGTCTTTACTACGCACTCTTCTTGGAAAGGGTGGAAGTCGGTTACAAAGTATATTATCACGGTTGCATTTGTTTTTATCTTTAGTAACCATCAGCCTCTTTGTCTTGGACAACAAGCGTATACGAAAAAAAAATTTTTTTCGTAGAAACGCCAAGTTTGGTCTAAATTGTTTAACCGCTCAGTAATGAGTAATACACATAGAATACTAAGTTATAGAATAGTACTGATGGCTAACCGCAACTGGCACATCGGAAAGATGTCAAAAAAACTTCTGACAACTACTTTCGAAACCACCAAATAATATTAATTTCTATTATCGCCATATCAAAACAAATTACTCCAGTAATCGGGAACAACCGTGTTTACAGGCGTCATACAGTGTTTAAGCATCTTATCGAAGTTCTACTTGCGACATTCGAACTGTGGCTGGGTGCTACTTCTATATATAAATATGTGCTTAAAATGCGTTACTATTTTTTTAAACGATGGAATATTTTTATTTGCCCGTAATAAAGAAATTAGTGCAAACGTTTAGGTGGAACTGTCTTCATAAAAGTAGAAAAATTGAAATAATCGTGTTTCATCGACTCGCTTCAACACAGGACTTTACTACGTTACGTCTTCGGCGTAGATTGTGCGCAGGCGCGAAGGCAACAAAACCATTAATGAGGACCAATAATGAGGACTTCAATTTCGCCAAAAAATTATGCTTACAACAAACTTTCTTTAGAATATGAGGGTACACGAACCGTTTTGTTAAATCCAAGTTTTTAGCGTATTCTTACTGTTTTTATGTTTTTCGAAGCTTGGTGACTTTGTGATTTGCTTTTCATTAGATTTTCGTTAAAACTAAGATTTTGTCGATCGTATGTATCTAATTGAAGCATGGGAGATATGCAACAATGTTAGCTCTAATATAAAAGTGGTCTCGCCCTGCCTGACATACTAATGGCTATCCTAGTGTAGTGTCAAAGATTGCAAACTTTAAAAGTATAACTGTGTCCTTTTTATGCTCTACTTATTCTAATTCTAAAAAATTCTAACTGAATAATTCTAGCAATTTGTTTTATTTATACTTAAACAATTACCAGCTAATCCTAAACTACCAAAATATCTATTTTTAGGGCCATTACTAATCTTACTGCTAAGTGATTTAATCTTCTACAAAAGATTGTCCAAAGGTCAGGTAGCTAGCCTGATAAGCAGACGGCTCTTGCGACCGTTTCTTGTAAAAGCGAAACAATGTCTTTAAATTAAGCTAACTTTATAGCAACTACTGTGAGAACAGAAAAGCCTGTTCCTTTTTGGATTAACTAAAATTAGACTACTATGCAACAAAAAATGAAGAACATTTTCTTGTTTATGCATTTCTAAAGAATTTATATTTTACTTATTAAACGAGAAATGATCTGTATTATATTTAACGACAAGGATTAACAGTTCGTCTCCTTTTAATTAATGTATAGTGATGCCTAACCAGTTGGTTCAAATTAAATTTACTTACGCTTTGCAATCACTCACGGATGTGAGCCGGAGCAATAAATGAGAACAATCATCAAGAGTAAAAAGATCAATATAGCAAAATGTGAGTGAATTTATTATAAGAAGATGTTATCTCACTCAAATCAAAATAAGCACAATGTGAGGAAATATTTAGATCATTATAATAATTGAAAATTATCACCTAATGTATTTTTCATTGTTTTATTGTGTATTTGATCAACATACAAGCTTGAAGAAAATTTCGTGTTTTTCGTGACAGCACAATGTCGATTGTAATTCATACATTTGACTGACTATATATATATATACATAGATAGATATATATATATATATATATATATATATATGATGTGAGAGTACAACAAGGTTTTTTTATATGTACACGTTCGGTATCTCTAAATCGTACATTCAAGTGTAATATACCTTAGGGTTATTTTGACAATGCGACATACGGAGCAGACTGGCGAGACGGGTGATTACCGTATTCTTCCAGTTGCATTAATTCAATTTATTTAACACCGGTGATCAATCTCCACGTTTTTACAATTTTTTCAACAAGATCTCGCAACCTTTCTTTGATGCTACTTTCCGCGACATGGCAAAAACATTGACTATTAAATTGATTCAATTTATGGATACAAAAATAGTTAATGTCTTCAATGTTTTGCCATGTTAAATGACATAAATAATGTAATTGTATTGCCAATGTAATTTATTTTTTAGATGGTGAAGGCAGCAGGAACTACAGTGTACATGTGTAATTTTGAGCTGCTAAACTTCTCTAGTGCCGATATCCCTTGTACACTATTTGTTTTCCCGGTGCAGCCGATGCAAGGTACTGCATGGCTTTTCCTTTTGTCAAATTTCATAATGCATTGAAGCCGGCGGAAATTCAATTTAATATGCCATCATAATTTAAGTATCACTCCTCCAGAGTTTGATGGTTTTATCGCCTTCAAGTGCTGCCGATGCGATGAGGTTCTCCGTCGGGTGACAAGCCGTACATAAAACAACATCTGTATGACCTTGTAGCTTTTGGACGATTTCTTTTGTCTGTAGGTTCCACACGTAGACCATATTGTCTTCACTGCCGGATACGATCCATTTTCCGCCAGTAACAGAGAAGTTCGCGAAGATACAATACTTCTCGTTTTTGTGTCCCGTATATGTTTTAAGACATTTGCCCTTCGAGTAATCCCAAAGCTTCAAGGTGTTATCGAGGGTGGCGGCCAGTATATACTTTCCGTTCGGGGAAAACTTGACAAATGAAACTGGCGGATTGTCATCGTCAATCAACGTCTTTAGACACTGACCTGACGCTGTATCCCAGATACGGCATAGACCATCGTACGAGGAAGACACAATTAGACTTCCGTCACGATTAAAGTGTACAGCTGATACAGGGTCACTATGGGCCGGAAGCGGCTTCAAGCATTTACCAGTCTTTACGTCCCAGATTCGGACAGATTCGTCAAACGAGCCGGACACAATCAAATTGCTCTGAGGGTTAAAGTTGCAACAGAATACATAGTTGCTATGGCCTTTTAGCGTTTTTAAACACTTACCCGATGTATGCTCCCAGATCTTGAGTGTCTTGTCGTCACTGGCTGACACCAACAGGCGGGAATCATTCGACCAAGCCACATCAGAAATGCCCAGTTTGTGCCCGGAGATCGTCTTTTCGAATTTTCCATCGCGGGCACCCCAGATCTTGATCAGTTTGTCAGCACTGCTTGAAGCTAGCCATTCGCCATCGGGCGAGAATTTAACAGAGCTGACGGCTTTTGTATGGCCTGCTAATGTGAATTTGAGTGTATAATTGGGACGGGCCCGCGAATTATCTGATGACATGTTATTTGTCTCCGTGCGCTGTCTTTCCGCTAGATTTTAACAGGTAACAACTTTCTCTGCCTTCCTTTATCTGCTCCCTAAGAGGCCCCCTATATGTATACCACTGCGCAAAATATGAGCGAATTTTTTATTTGTTTTTGTCGCACAACTCATCAGACAAACAAAACTCTTTTCGAAACAATTGTTGTCGCTCTACAATGGCTCCATACGCGAGCCTATGGCCAATCGCATGGGCGCGATTTGCCGGCCAGTTGGCGCCTTGGAATGCAGTCACTAAACTCGGTTTAATGTGTGTGCTTGGTTTCTGTAGCGTCTCGCGACAAATAACACAGCTCTTCGTTGTTCACGAGTTGAACAGCTGAATCAACCGTAAGCGAAAAGACAGAACCACAAAATTCAATTAACCCTAGCTAGCAACGCACGGGGGCTCACTTCTTCCACACGTACAGTATGCACCACAAGCGGCATCAGCGTTTGTTTACAAATTAACTTGCGGACCTGCGAACGGCACAAAACCGGCGCGCAAATTTGAATTACATCTATCGGAAAGATTTCAGTTGCATCACTAATAGAACTGGATCACGTAGTAAAGCTTTTAGCAAGCTTTATTTCCGATACTATCTTGTAGTTTGACAGATGCGGGTGGGCTTGCTTTTTTGTGATCAAATGAACTAATTAATGCCAAGCTTATTTTAAGAATATCTTCTGCTGAAACGAGTAGATGGCTGATAAAATTTCACAGAACGAAATCAACCTTATTTCATTCAGCCTCATATAAGCCTTCTTCAATATTTATTAAAAAAAATAATATAAATAGTCCTATTCAAGATAGATATTAACTACTTAAGAAACACCTTTGTATCTCGCACTTGTGTTAGAAAAATAGAATAGGGTATTCTACAAGTTGCTGGAGTTCAACGTACAATTTCTACCTGCCGTCATCCAAGCTCGCCTGTATGCGAATTTTACCTCCGCCCTTCCGCTCAGAAATTGGTCCTCGCCCTTTGCAAGACTTCAGTAGATCAGCAGGGGTCCACGACGCTAAATTCAGCCGCTAAAGCCAAAAAGACAACCACAAGCCGGTGTTCTATGGCACATTCTCGGGGGCCTGCCTTTCTCCCCTCAAAAGCAAACCATCGAAACTCTTTACATATTTGTTTTAAAATGACTTCCTATATTCAGATAGGTCGTTTAGTGTGTCCCTTTGACTGAAGGTTTGCCCGTCCAGACTACCTCGATATTCATTATTCTAGTGGTTTTGCTACTGATCTGGTTCTGATTCGCTGGCAATGGAGGCTTTTCGATGTACGATCTTCTTCTACTAGCACAATGACCACCCTTGCTCTTCCTCCGCTGAAAAACGAAAGTTGGCGAGTCGCGCGTACCATCACACCGACCGATGTACTTTAGGCCCATAATAGCGATTACCAAGCCCATGTCCACCCTTTCTGAATTTATGAGCAGACACCAACGAATATTCTCTTTCCAGATGCAAGCCGTTCTCCGTCGAGCCACACTCTTTCCAGTAGCAAAGGAATACGGAAGGTCGCTTTTTGTTTGCATCGGATATGTTCGTCGTCTCTTTGTAGTCAGCGAAATAGTTGTTATTTCTACGACTAGTGTTCGCTTGCCCTTTCCCCAGCCGCGACACAACGCCCGTAACAACAATATCGGAGCTCTAATCCGGTGGAGTCGACATCGGCTGGCGGCGCTCCAAGCGGAAATCCGCTATCGATTTGAAAGTGGTTGTGAGTGTTGCTAGCTCTCTTAGTTTGTTTGACCGTCCAGGTATCAGTCCGTTCGCTGATAATTAGCACAGCCCATCGACTAATAGCAGCTTGAGGCGGCACCAGTGGCTGGAAGACAGTAGCGCTGACTTTTGCTCCGTTGGATCAGGATTGAGTGTTCCGAGGTAGCCTGCAATATACAGGGGTCACAGGCTAGTCGAAGCCGAACAACAAACGCCCATCACAGAGCAGATCGCTCCCTTTTTAATCTGAAAGAAGATCAGATGGCCGATCATTCACAGCCACTTACCGTGTCCCTGGGGATGCGTCGACACCCGGAACATTTAATGTCTTGTACTTCTTCTATTTTCACCTGGACCAAATAGGAAGAACCCTGCGAATGTTTAAATTCGAAACGGTTTGGGATAGATCCAGTGTGATCATTAGTACATTCATTGTATAAGGCGTCGGTGCTTTAGTGCGCAACCCTGCTCGCGTAAGCAGTTACGCGAATCAAAAACTTGTACTTGCATTGAGAGTACTTGTAAGTGGCTGCTTGTTTTTATTTCAGTTTGGCCGGAATACTCTGTATTTGTCTGTTATTGTCGTGTTTTATGAGAGCAAGTGATAGCGCGCACACGGCGCTCAGCTGTTTATTCTGTTCGACAAACAAAAGGGAAAGAGACGGAAGTCTAAGCAGTCGCGCGGGAAATACCAGTCCGAACCGTATCGTTTCTAGTTTGTGTGCTATCTGAAGATAGTCGTGATAGGAAACGTACGTTGCGTAGGATAATTATTCACCGGTGAGAAGTGCAAGTAGCCAGCCTAATGTTGCCTCAGCCTATATTGTGTTCGTCGATGGTCATTGTTCCTATGTGGCAACGTTGCAGCACTGGTCTAGCTCATTTCTACCATCAAGCTCCTTGGAAACGCTAGTCGTTCAGGAGTTTACTGAGGACTATCTCAGATGTAGTATACCAAGATCCACTCGAGTATTTAGGTGAGGGTCGCATGAGCAAACGCAGCTTGTTAACGCTTAATTAATGTAACTGTTTATCAACATGACTAAGCTCACATGCAGGCGCATGACCTATCGAAACCTAGGCATAAAATAAAAGATAGAAATCTTCATATTTACACCTCAAAGGCAAGTAAAGCTTGTTGTTCGCTTTTTATCGCCCTTGATCTAGTCAACTATGTAACCTGAAGGCGTCTTTCGTTGCACAAATAAGAAACTATAATTTGCTATTCCGTAGATTCTCGACTAGGCGTGAAAAACGTCGTTGTAAAAGCAATCAATATGGCTCTCTTGGACAATGAAGAGCCGTTATCGATGTTTACAATATTAGTTTGAACGGAAAAGTAGACTTCAAACGCACTGCACTCCATCTGAAAAGATGGACACAGCCGGCGACTCGAGCGGCAAAGAATATCACCAGGAACACCCTTTCTCTACCCCCTCCCCAACTTACCTCTTTCTCCCTCCTCTTTTGTGTAAACACACATAGCTACATTCTTATACGTGAAATCAGTAGACGGCTGCCACCAATCCACCCCTCCCCCCACAATTCCGTGCCCGCTATTATATGGAGTTATCAGTGCTATGTGCCGTCGCGAAGAAACTCCGCCTGATATTCACCTTATGAACTCGGCTGAAAAGTTACCTAGTAAGTGATTATTTGCTTTCATTTCTTTGGCCGGAATATTACGTTGAAGTTGTTAGATGATGGTCTTCGAGCTCTTCAGAGTTATGCGACATGTGATTTGGCTTGTTCAAACTGTGGATGCGTTAAAAGAAAGTGTTCCGCGTACTCTGCTCCGGTTTTTTCGATCTTCACACAGATGTGTGGAAAGTCCTCAGCAAAGCTCTGTCACTGGTCCACACGTAAGCTTGCTTTTTGCTGGCGTCGAAGGTGGTTACGCTTTAAACATTTGCTTATGTTAACAGCAATCTAAAACGGAGCTCTGCTAGCGAGTTATCTGTTGTCTTCCGCTTGGCTATTTTTAGTTTAGCAACGACGAAAATAAAAGGAAAAGAGCCTAGATTAGCAGTGCTCAGTCAGGGAGTCCTACGATGACTCATCACTCGCTCGCAAACGGTATGTGTCACTATAGGCTGCCAGTGCGTCGAGCACAGTATATTGATATTCATTAATTTGAAAATAACTATTCTAATATAGCATATTAATTTTCGTAGTATTTTTCTTCATCGATCGAACAGCTATTTAACACCTGGATATTTGGCCCGTTGTTATTTGGCGATAGCTCTACATTATTATAGAAGCGAGTTCTCGTACTGAACTGATGTTGAAAGCATTGCTATTCGTTAGCTGGAAATCTGTCATTACAAAATGGCCGCCTCAGTTGTTTTGGTATCGACAGTTTGCTGGTAACAACCACAGATACGTTACCCCAGACAACTGATGACAGTTTACGCGTAAACCACTAGGATCTAAGGCTAGATCCTAAGCCATACTTGAACATGCGTACAGCGAGAAGTTGTATAGTACTAGTGAAACAATTATTCCGCTTCAACTAGCGTGCCGCTTGTAACTTCCAACTTTTTGGAAAATATGTAAACAGTTCCATACGCATATAATGTATCGTGTAACACGCTTTCTACTAAGCCGTTGACGGAGCGATTCTCGATGTAACGCGCATTATGTACGGTCGATGCTAAACAGAAATTTTGTTTTTGGCAATACGGTAATAATAATAATAATAATTTCCATAGTAGCACTGATTAAAGTAAAAATAAATCGTTAAACTCGTGTGAAGGTATTAAGCGAGCAAGTCTGAAATACGAAAAAAAAAAAAAAAAAAAAGCAGAGGAAAGATACTCCCTTTCCGTATTACATACAGGATGTAAATGGGCCTGAAAAAAGGCTTTTAATCGTTTCGTCTCATCTGAATCGCTTAATGAATGAATTTTTTTGAAGGTTGAGGTTGCGAAATTAATACCTATATTTGCGGTACTCTTCGTGCAAACCAGGTTGTACAAATAAACACTATTCAATCAGGATAGAGTGTATGTGCTTCAATTTAATTCAGGCCATTTGCTCAAGGTTATTAGTAGTAAAATATTAAGTTTAGCTAAAAGTCATATCCGCAGGCGGCGTCAATATCGACCGTAAAATTCAGAACATTCATAGCCCTTACCGGATGAATCTTGCAGATATATCTATAAAAGCGTGGTTACTAGCACGGATCCAGTAATGTTTGGGCTGTACATTCAGTCGTATTAACGAACTACCTTCTCCATATAGAAGTTCAACTTAATAAAATTCTCTCAGGAAGTGTTTTCTGGTGAACTACTAATAATTGCGAATCGGCACTGACCGCATGAGCGAGGCTCCACACATTTTTCGCATCACTGTTATAAGTTGGCCCTAGCGCAGGTCGCCCACAATCGCGGCCTAGAACATAGTCTAGTGCAGATTTTTCTCTTGGCGTAGATTTACAGAAGTTTGTTGATACGTGTATTCCTACTTTCCGAATCTGCAACTGTGAGCTTCATCCAGGTTCGCGTATCGTTGATAGGAAGACTGGCCTCGGCGTTAAATACGCTCATCCAGTTTGTGCAAAGCGCGAACAGAACCAACTTTTTTTTTCGTTGGGTCGGAAAAGAATAGCCTATACTCGCTGAAATTTTGTCCAGAAGATTTTCTCATTTACCCATTTAATCTGAAACGATCAGTTACTGTTGAACGTGATACGTATCCTACATGGAACGGAAGCAATGGGACAGGGCAATAAAGGTTAATCTTAAAAATTGTTTAGATTACCCCATTTTGGGACGCATGAACAAACGAAACACTGCTTGCTTGGGTTGATTAAAATTAGAATAGTAAAACCATACGTAATAGAGGTCATAACCAATAGTGGTGTGCTGACTATTTAAATGGCTTCTGTAAAAAATCTATTTTCACAAAACGTGAAACGCAAAAAATGGTAGCGGTAACTGATTGTTATTTTTACACCTTAGAGTAAATCTTGCACAAGGCTTTGTTTGAAATTACCGTTTATAATCTTTCAGATGCTGTGACACCATCGTCTGTGATAGTGTAGCTCTTTACATCTAGAGGTCACGACAGCCTCAACAAGATAAACATGGCTCGAAATTTCGGTAAGTATGCATCCAATGCTTGTTGCTTGTTGTTGTCGTCGTCTCTCGACCCATCTAATTCACCTGTGACGTACATATAATTGCTAGGAGTTGGTCTAACGAAATTTCAATGCTTTAAGCACAAACTTCACTATAACTGGCTAAAAAATGAACTATGCAGCATCAGAGCTGTGATTTGAAAATCGAAACGTACGATACTGCGTGAATTTGTATCCTTTTAAGCACGCGCTGCCTCGAGAAGACCACTTTAGCAATTGATGATTACCAAAAAAAGCCCTGCAGAGTTCTCTCTCGCTATTCCGTCTTCGATTGTTAGAAATGTCAACTATCGGCAAGCCTAGTTTTTCAGGGTTCTGTCTGTTCACTCCTTACGCCTATGAATCCCTAACTAATGAATTGGCCAAAACGTTTACAGTGTATATTGCATCGGCCTGCATCGTAACAATTGTCTCATGCACTGATCGTCTATTTGCGTCCAGCCAAACAAAGCCCACGGTAGTTTCTACGCATATCTGATTACTATTACTAAAATTATCTGTTGATAATTATGCGTATTTGGGTTTCATATAGCAAGCGCAGAGACCCACCCTCTTCCATACTATTTACTCGTTATTGCCTGTGCGGGTGTTCATCGGCATCGTTGCATACGTGCGCGTCGATAAACGCTGCTTGAAATCTGGAAACAGCCGCTGATTTTCATGGAACTCGTAAAAAGAGGATCCCCTATAGCGCCGATCCTGCAAATGATGAAATTGTTTGATGAGTCAAAAGACGGCCACTGACTTCTTTTTAGTTACTCATCGGTGCTGCTAAGCAGACAGCTGGATCAGAAAGAACAAACGTAGAGTGCGAAAATGACGCTTGTTTCGTGACGGCATTTGTGCTCTGCAGCTGGAAGTTGAAAGGAGGCGATTCTCATATGTGCGTAAAACCAGCGATGATGGTGACAAATCCCGTTCAATCTGCCATAGATGACGTCTGGGCAGCGCCAATTTACAAGCGTCTATATCAAACGGGCCAATTGCCGGCTACTTACGAAAGGAAAAAGAGCTACCGGACGACACTACTTCAGCGCCCGCATCGTCAGTGGTTTGTGAACTAAAAAATTGCGTTTCTCCATCAATTGAGTTGCGAGATGTGGCCACAATAGCAAATCAGTCTTTTTGCTTGGTGCGTAACTGACTCGTAGCATTGTTTGCCCGCAGAGAAAAATTGGTCGAGACGATTTTCGTAGTATTTTTGAATTTTCGTTTCATTTAACTTCTTGACGCACAACGAGTCGCATCATTACAGCACTGCATTTTAGACGCAAATTGTCAAATGATTCGTGAGAAAAAGAAGGTGAACTTTCGATAAGTTTGCGTTGTACGTGCGGGCTGCTGAAAGAAACAAGACATCGTGCAGAACAAGAAGGAAGTTCTTATGGAGTTCGGTGTCAAAGCTACAAACAATGAAAACATACGAATTTTACGGACTTACTGACCTTGATCAAGGTTTGCAGTTGGCTTGTTCATTGTCTGCGCGTTGGCTGGTTTCACATGAAAATGGCGGTCGTTCTATGTAACAATCTATACTATTTCGATTCCAGGTAACGTATTAGGTATGATCCAGATCAATCAACCGATTCATATAGTTGAAAATATTTGATGAATTATGTCGCTAGTCACGTCGGAGTAAGGCCCGCTTCCTCTACTCCAACCTAGCGCTTGATAAGCTGCCCTAGACTAGAACGTAAATAGATATGGCACCCAGTGTCATTGGACGTCCTAGACATACACATATTTCGGTTTCTGCCCTTGTCCACTAGAGATTATACGTTGTGGAACTATGCAGTACATAGTGGCCGTACGTACCGTCACAAAATATTGAAGTATAGACGCATCATATGTACTCAATCCCCTTGTTATTTTACACATATTTGGAAGAGGATTGATAAAAAAAGATAAGCAATTGTCCCACTTCGTCGCTGTGCGAGAATCGAATTAATGTGAATATGTGTTTAACATTAAGAGGAAACTGAAATACGGCCTACCTTGAAAGCATGCTAAAGCTACTTACCCATCGACCAATATATTGATTCTACCATTTAGCTACGACTGTTCCATTGACCGTACGTAGAGATGTCATACAAAAAAATAATCAGTCGGTTATCGTACTTAAATTGTTCGCTAGCTCGAATTCTGGTCACTCAGTGTTGGATATCAGGGCACATAATAGCCGGAAGCTATGCTTAAATTGTTAACAATTAAACGTATAACCAGTACGCATTTTGGTTCTTTTCCATAGTAGTAATTTTTCAGTCGTTCTGATATTCTGAGCTGGGGGCGCATTTAGTCGCATTTCGACACAAATCACGCATTTTCTTTCATTTTCATCATTACCTGTGAGGTCCGACGCATCTGCTCTTACTTTTAGTCGCGCTAGTGTTCTCGTAGGGTATCAAACTTTCTGACGACCGCTAATATGGCGAATTACCGTAGCCGGCCGTGTTATTAGTTTTCTCAAGTTGTTGACAAAACGCTGGCAGCACTTTCGGTGCTTCGATGCTGACTGAATTTCGGTGCGGCGCACTGCGTCATATTGACCCCAACTTAGGATTATTCCCTAACGCCTAACTACAGACCTTTTCGAATCTGGTGCCTGTGAGCGACCCAGGTGCTCATTCGAAGGCGCTTACGCTGTTTTTATTTGGTCTCTTATGAGCTACACACAATTGCACTCCGATATTCTTAATGCCATGCTTTAGCTGCAGAATTGTGCATTCTTCGAGGGCTGGCAGAAGCTAAGTGGATCATTCTATTTTAAACATGGCACTATTTTTTTTTTACTTTTTCAAGCGCTTGTTGTTCTGTGTGTGGACTATCAAACTCTTCACTATTTTGAAGCTTTTGTAATTTCATGCGGTACCAGTGAGGTATTGGCTTCGGTTTTTACTAATCACAGTTGGGGCAGGTTGTTATTTGTTACTAACCTGCTAATTTGAGAAGATATGTTTAGTCTTTCTGATCGAAGCTAATCCTATTTTCGAATACGATTCTAAATATATGGAATTATATCATAAGGCTTCTATCATTTCAAGCGCATTGTAACGGATGTTCTCCTTTGCGAACGTCGCTGAATCCAACGCATTTCAATTGGGGATATAAAGCGTAGATGCTTCGGGCTGAGCTTTTTCTTTAGTTATTGGGCAGAAAAATTGTCGAACTACTTCCTGTTTTGTGACACTAGAACAAGCTCGATGTTGTTTCAAGTTTGGTTTATGCAAAATACAATAAACTGCCCCAAGGGGCTATACAATCAATCACGTAAAACGTGCGAAAGCTCACCAGATTAAGAAAGACTATTTGTTCTGCTAGCAGATATAAAAAATGACACAGTAATAGCTGAATTGACTCAGACAAGCCTTCAGAAAGCCTCTGAATAGCCTGCCACTTTATCACTACAGCTATGTCTGTTAACAACTTTCAAATAGACTGAAAAAGAAAAACGGAACGAAAGCCTACATTTTCGATTCGAACATAGTAGTAGTAGAAATTCAGCGATGTTTCACAAAACAGGATATTTTCAGGCAAACTCGAATGAAAACGCCTGAAACCTAGAGTAGTGAAACCTTCGATCCGTTCGAAACTAATCAGAGTTAAAATGTGTGGTTAAGCCACGTATGATGTTGGTGTTTATTGATGGCCTAGGTGTGCGCGCAATGAGCAAAAAAATCTGATCAAGCAGAGATTCAGGTTAACCATTTTCGTGTACGCAGTAGCTTCGAATGCCTGGAACGGAGAAAGAGCGATAAGAAAAATTTCAACTGATTCGTATGCTCGCCTCGATAGGATATCAGACACCATTGACGCTTTTAGTTATTTGGTTTACCTATAGCAGCTAATCTACGATAACTCTTAACCGTCTCTAGATACGAACATGATAACAATAATAACAACAACAGCAACAAAAGGCTTATGGTACTGTGGTGTACGATAACAGAAACAACAGGTTTCTCCACCCCTACGCCTTGGCTCGTGTCTCAAGTAAGCCGCTCGTCATTCGTTTAGACAGAAGAGATTCGTTTAGAGAGCAGGATATTGAAAGCAGATGTCCTGGTTACTGTGTAACTGCACGCATGTTTTTCCAGTATAAGATAGATGGGCTGCACAGGCCAAGAGCTCTTTGGGTTCATTTAGTAGCGACGTATTGGTAGGACGCCAGTGACACTGAGACACTGATACGCATTGACCAAAGAACATGCAAGAAACACAACAAAAATATGATCGTTGTTGTCGTACAGAACAGGCAATTAGTAGAAGTTGATTAGAGAAAACAAGGAGTTAATGTAAGACGCCGAAGGCCACACTGACAATGACAACAGTTTGTATCTTGATGTCGCACCGTAACCGCTCAAGCGGAATCATTGACCCAATGGAGAACAAGAGACACTGTACCTACAGGGAACAAACCTATGGCGTTCGTTACAGCCACTCTATGGCGGCGGGTACCGCCACTGCTACCCTGACCGTCACGACGATCACCAGCAGCAATAGTAATAAAACGGCCATCGACTCAGAGATTCACCTGTCGGTCCTTCTCGCCTCAGTCAGAGGAGCTCTGGGTCTCGAGAGAACAACTAGCCAACAACAGTTCTATCCGCGTTGAAAGAGCGTACAGCTTTGGTTGACGAGGAGCTGAGAAAGAAAATGCCCAGTAGAAAACAGTACGAAAGACGGACGGTAATGGCAACAGCAATACATGCTTAGAGACAGGGGTATATAGTGCGAGCGAACCTGAAAGCTTGTGTAAGCTATTTTGTCGGCGGGTCAGCCTTCGGAGTTGGTTCCCCGATATGGTTGGTTGACTGTGGTACGGCTGCAAGCACAGTCAAGAGACCTGGGCTGATCTGATGACGGAGACTGGCTAAGTGAGGTAATGCCCGCAGCGCCCGTGGTGCCCACGTAGATGTCGGAACTGAGCTGAGGTTTGCTCGCCTGTTACGCGGCAATTATGACCACTGTGGCTGTTGTTGATACTGATGCCGCTGCTGAAACGCACAGCATTGGCTAACTGGCATACGGAGGATGGCTATGAGCGACCCGGGCGCCGATTGACCTAGATAATGGGTGCGTGCAAACCCTCAGAAGACGATCGACGAGACTCGCTGCTTGCAAGCGCTCCCTAAATTCAGTGCTGTGGTGATTGTTTCCCGTAGTCGTAAAAAGTGAAGGCGCGCGGGTTAGTTGTTTTCCAAGTGGGGCCAACGAAGGATGCACTCCGTAAAGAATGACGAACTGGGTGATTGGTTATACAGCATTGAATGAAGCACGATATTTGGTATTGTTTCCAAATACTGGCGTACGCACGCGCACGAGGGTGCAGCATGTAGTGAGCGTAGCAGTCTGTAATTTAGGGAGGAAAATGGATGGGACAGAGTAACCCGTCAGAACTTCGTCAGAAGCATATCGAATGAGGCACGAAACAAATTATGCAGGGCTATAGGGAATTCTGTGTAGTTGATGTGCTTAAGTGGTCGCGTTCTAATCACCAGCGTGGAAATAGCTTTGGTGAATGTTATGTGGGTGCAAGCACTGGGCCGACAACCTGGTGGATCAGTTTAACAGTGAATAATTACGTCGTCGAAGAGAGTGAAAATAACCGAACATGGAATACCTCGTTGGTTTTAAATTTAATTTATTGGAAATAAATGGTGCTCTTATAACGATAAAACAATCACAAAGTGTGCACCAAGCGTGCCAGTGAAGAATGTTGGCTACTTATGAGGGTGAGATGGGCTCATGGGGTTCGCTTCCCATGAACTGTCAATACAAATTTCTTCTGCTTGTTGGTGAGTTCTAAAAATATCGAGCGTATATTTAGTGGTAAGAACGGCATCATATAGAAGAAATCCTTTGCCTTTTTTTGCTTGCTAGATCATGCGTGGAATCACAAGCATTCGTTCAGGACACAAATAGGTTGTAACAAATGTGATTCGATACGTAAAAGCCTACATTTTAATTTAATTCATGGTTTTGATACATCCGCAACACAAGAAACGCTTTATGTTCGTTTTACTTAGGAGACCATTCAAATGCTGATTACTGATCGAAGTCACATTCTAGATAGCCGTATTGATAAAATAGTTTGCGACCTCGAGGTTGAATTAATGTACCTAAATAAAGTAGAATTTATTTAAGGCAGATTGCTTATCTGTTAAATCATTACATGATTTGAGTTCAGACCGACGTAAGTCAGGTTGGTTTCTATCTATAATAGAATTTATTATTACTTAGTACGGAGGAAAGGAATTGTAATATTTTTTACAAATAATAGTATAACTCTATTACATAGATTTTGGGAATCTAAAAAAATTAAAAATTCAAGCACTGAAAGGCTTTTGTTATTTTAATGCCGGCAACTTCATCGACTGTTATACGCTCAGTTCAAAAGGTTTGAACTTGACGACACCGTCCTATGAATTCTGCTATCTGCATCAGGCTTATAATATAGAAAATTGGAACCCACTCTGTATGACAAATTGGCCCGTGCATGCGGGTCTTTCGCCTAGTTTACTTATTAATTTAAAGTTCCTACATATCATAATGA